TCATTTGATGGAGTTTTTGAGGTCTTCTATATAGAGTATAATGTTATCTTCAAATAATAACCTCACATCTTCCTTTCTTATCCTTATTCCTTTTATTTTTCTCTCTCATCTAATTGCTCTGGCTACTGTTTCCAGAATTATATTGAATATGAATAGTGATAGTGGACATCCCCCTTGTCTCATTTCTGATTTTAGAGTGAAAGTTTTCAGTGTTTGTCCCTTTAGTATGATGTTGGCTCTTAGTTTGTCATAGATGGCTTTTATCAGAGTGAAGTGAAGACCATTTATTACAGTTTGCTGTATGGCTTTTCATCATGAACGAGTGTTAGACTATCAAAAGCCTTTTCTGCATCTGTTGAGGTGATCATGTGAAGTAAATCTTTGGCTCTGTGTATTACATTTATTAATTTGTGTGTATTGGCCCATCCCTGCATTCCTAGGATGAATCCCAGTTGGTCATAATGTATAATCTTCCTGATGAATTTCTTCATTCTGTTTGCTAGTATTTTATTGAAGATTTTTTTATCTGTGTTCACTAGGGATAGAATGAATTCTATCTGTAGTTCTTTTTTGGTTGGGTCTTTCTCTGATTTTGGTATCAGGGTAATACTTGCCTCCAGGAACAAGTTAGGGAGAAATGCTTCCCTTTCAGTTTCATTAAAGTGTTTGAGAAATATTGGCATTAAATCTTCTCTACATTTATTGTAGAATTCAGCTGTGAATCCATCAGGACTTGAACCTTTATTCGTTGGTAAATTTTTAATTACAGTTTCAATTTCATTAACTCATATTGGGTTATTCAGGATTTTTATATCTTCATTCAGCAGTTAGTAATTCATATATATCTAGGAATTTTTCCTTTCTTCAGTGTTTTCAGTCCTAGGAGAGTTAACAGTTTTTGAAGCATATATTGATGATCCCTTTCTGAATTTCTGTAGGATCTGAATTGATTTTACCCTATTCATTCCTTATTGAATAATTTTTTAAATTTTATTTTTATTCTTTTGTATTTTAGGGAAGGGTCTATAGGGTGTTCAGGGTCTCACTACTAGATCAGACTTGTAGTGACCTGCCTGTTTACAGCCTCCCAAGAGCTGGGATTACAGGTGTATGCCACCACACCCAGTCTCAATTGCCATCTCAGCATGCGCCAGGGGTGGGGTCAGCACAGCAGGCCTTGGGCTCAAATCCCTGGCCCCTGTGCCTGCTTGCAGGCACTTTCATTCCTTCTTGAATAATTTGATTTTTTTTCTTTCCTTTTTTGGATAAGATTAGTTAAGGGTTTATCAATTTTATTTGTTCTTTAAAGAACCAACTCTTTGATTCATGTATGTTGTGTGAATTTCTGCTTTGATTTTTATAATTTCTTCCTTTCTTTGGGCTTTGGGCTTCACTCGCTCTTCTTTTTTTAAAAGTGTGAGGTGCAGCACTAGGCTATTTGTGTTTGTTATATTTTCATAATGTGAGAATTCTCCAGTATAAATTTCTGAGGACTACTTTTATTGCATCCCACAGATTCTGGTAAGTTGTATCTTCATTTTTGTTTTATTGTATGTATAGTTTAATTTCTTCTTTCATTTCATCTGTAACCCATTGGTTGTTTAGGTGGGTGTTATTTAATTTCCATGTGTTTATGGAGTTTTAAAAATTTTTTTGTCAATAATTACAAATTTCATTGTGCTATGGTCAGATAATATACATAGAATAATTTCATTTCTGTTGCATTTACTTAAGCATGTTCTAGTACATGGTCTGTTTTAGAGAATGTCCCGCGTGCATCTGAGAAGAATGTATATTCTGATGTTGTTGGGTAGAATACTCTGTGAAGGTCTGCTAAGTCAATTTGTTCCCAAGTTTTGTTCAGTTTTGTTATTTCTTTGCTGATACTTTTTTTTGGTCCAGCTGATTTATGTCTTCGTGGCAATGGGGCATTAAGGTTCCCCATTATGATTGCATTATTTCTTATTTGATTTTTCTTGTCTGTTAAGTTTTGTCTTATATAGTTGGGTGCTTCCGTATTTGGTGCATATATACTTATGATTATTATCTCTTCCTCTTGCAGTTTTCCCCTAACAAGTTTGTAGTGACCTTCTTTATCTCTTGATCATTCTTGGTTTTAAGTTCACATTGTCTGCAAACAGAATAGTTAGCCCTGCATTTTTCTGGGTTCCTGTTAAATGGAGTATTATTTTCCATTCTTTGACTTCCAGTCTTTGGAATTAAATTTCTTTTTGAGTTAAATGTGTTTCTTGTATACATTATTGGATTTTGTTTCTTGATTCATTTTGCAAATCTGTTTCTTCTGCTTAGTGAATTGAGGCCATTTACATTAATGGTTATAACTAATATGCATTAGCTTATCTTTGTCATGGTTTTTTTCTGCTGTTGATTCCCTACACTTCCCTTCTGTTTAATTGCTTGTCCTGCTTGATTGTTCCTTTATATTGTTGTTTTTGGAACTGTGATCATTTTGTCTCTTTCTAGAATACCTTTCAGTACTTTTCGGTAGTTGGTTTGGTGGTCATGAATTTTTCAGTTCTTTATCATGGCAGTATCTTATTTCTCCATTTTGTTTTTGTTTGAGACAAGGTCTCACTATGCGGTTCAGGCTTGCCTTGTGTTCACTGTTGTAGCCCCCATGCCAGTGTACACTGGTGAGATTATTAGCCCACACCTTCCCAATGTTGTTACACAAGAAAGAACAACTGATTACAACAGACATATCATGCTAGTCACAATAGTACAATTTGCAGCAAGCGCAATTGAGAAACTGACCAACTGTGGTGATTATTGATTTTGTACTTTAGACCATAGGAGCAAAGTCTATAGGTATAAAATAGAACTGATTGTAAATTAGGAACTTGTATGCAAAGCATTCCCCTTGTTAGAGTGGATTTTGGGTTCCTCAGGACAAGACATTTGCCATGTCCCAAGTATTTCCAGCATTGGCTGTCCAACCCAAACAGTAAAACTATGGACCAGGCACCAGTGTTCCTCCCTGGATGGTGGGTGGTTTTCCTCTCCCACGTGGTTCACCACGGTTTCTGAGACTATGATAGTGGGGAGGGGGTGGTGGGCAGGGTTTCCTGCTTTTTTTTTCTTTCTGTTTTCTCTCTCTCTCTCTCTCTCTCTCTCTCTCTCTCTCTCTCTCTCTCTTTTAATAAGTTCTCTATTCTGTGTTTTTAATGCTGTGTCTTGGCCAGGAGCCTGAAGAGGTACTTTGGTAGGTAAGATCCTCAGGAAGAAGAAAGCATATGAAAGAGAGCAGCATGTATCTTTATTGTTCAACTCTTATGCAGGTGGTTATCATATATTTATATTCTTGCATGTTGACTGAACTAGTGCATGTGTAGTTGTCCGCTGCTAAGTCATTCTTTTTTAAAAAATATTCATTTGTTCATTTGATACAGGGTCTTGCTACACAGCTTAGGTTTGTAGTGGTCCTCCTACCTTAGCCTCTCTCCCCACTGCTGGGATTAAAGGTGTGCACTGCCACACCTGATTTTGGTGGCTTGCTTGTTGGGCCTGGGCTTTTGAAGCTGGCACAGAATTCAGTACTGAGGATCCAACTCAGGTCCTTGTACTTGCCAGACAGGCACTTGCACTGCTGAGCTATCTCCCCAGCCCTGCTAAGTCTTTCTTGTATATAGGTTCCCCAGTCTGTACCTGTGCTAGACAGTTGTGTTATGTCCTTAAACCTGGCCAGAGGCATCCTTATCTGCCCCCTGAGTTTTGAAGCCTAAAGCAGTCTGTCTGGAACAGTGCCTCACATGCTGTGTGTGTCTCCTAATATAAGCAGTAATGTGTTGCTCTAGTTTCTTTCCCTTTAAAAGACTCTTACTTGGAGATATAGCTTGGCGGTCCAGCACCTGCCTGGTAAAAGACTCAAGGTATTCACTATTCTCCTCTCATGGGATGACTTGCAAAATGCCTATCTGTTCAGGTAACTTACTACTTTTTATTGGCCCCTCATTATTTATGTCTTAGGAAGTGGATGATATTGACTTCTATATGGGTACTACAAATTGTTTTATTTAAAAAGGAAATAGAACCTGCCATGAATGTAATTTAGAAGTAATTTACCTGTAATAGAGAATACCTGAAGATCAAGTTGTTTGAATTAGGTCAAGTTTTTAAATGCAAAAGCACAAGTTTATCATTGACTGACCATGTCTTTTGCTTTCTCATTTATCTCAGCCCAGGAACACACATGTTAGCCTGTGGTTTTTTGTGTGTTTTCACAACTTCTGTTAACAGCTTCATCTTCATAAGAACACATTTAGAAGATCTGAGCCTGTCATTTTAGTGATGAACACCTGGTAACACAAGCTTTTTTTTTTCTGCTGCATTATTACTCTTGTCTACATTGAGCAAATGCCATAGGTTATTGAATATATTATTTCCAGTGTGTATTTATGCTTAAGTCTTCACACTAGATTGTTAGGAACAGAATAGTTTTGCTAGCAACGAAACAGTATATAAAGGAGAGCTGAGTGTGGTGGTGTACTCCTGTAATCCTAGCACTCAGGAAGCTGAGGCAGGAGAATCACTGAGTTCAAGGCTAGCTAGGGCTACACAGTAAGCTCAAGCCCAGTTTGAACTACGTAGCATCACTTCTCAAACAAACCTAAAAATTAATAGTTTTGTTTGGTCTGTGGTATGTTGAATTCTGGGGATTCAACACAGGACCATCGCAACAAGCTACATCTCCAGCCTTTGTATTTCTGGAGAGGGTCTTATTATGCTACCAGTAGACCAAGCTAGGCTCCACTTGGAACCCTCTTATCTCACTCTTCCCAAGTGCTGAGATTATATTTGAATACTAAATTAGTACAGAGACAAGATTTTTTTCCTCCTATAATGTGGAGTACAAATCAAGTTACATCTTGCAAAAAAAACACATGTAAGACATAGCTTCATATAGAAGGGTTAATCCCCACATTCCTGCTTTTTTGGCCCAATGCAGACAGTTTGGGTTGATGAGAAATGTTCCCTTACAGGGCCTGGTATCATTTGAGGATGTTTCTGTGAACTTCACCTGGGAGGAGTGGAAGGACCTCAGCGATGCCCAGAGGAACCTCTACAGAGAAGTGATGCTGGAGACCTACAGTAATCTGGTGGCTTTGGGTGAGTGAAAACCCCAGTCCAATAACTTGAGTAGCTGCTACTTTATTTTTGGTTAGTAAATGTAAGGACCATGTCCAAGTTTTAATGCTGCTTTTATATATTTTCAGCTGCCATGTACCATTTGTATATTTATAGGGTAGAACATGGCTTTCAGTACATGAATACCACCTGTATTGATTAAATCAGAGTAATTGACAGATCTCTTACCTTACATATTTATCAGTGGTTTGCATTGGGAACGTTAAAATCTTGTCTACTAATTTTTTTGAAATATTCAGTTAATTATTGCTAATCTATGAAACATGAGAAGTTTTTGTTCCTATGCAGCTGTACGCTTGTATGCATTAACCATCTCTCCATCCTTCCCTTTTCCTATGTGCTGTCCAGGATCTACTAACCACTGTTTTGTTCTGTATTTCTTTGAGATACAGTTTAACTGGCACATATAAGGGAGAATATGTAGCACTTATCTTTCTGTGCTTGACTCATTGCCTAATGTATGTCTTCTAATTTCATCCATGTTGCTACAAATGAAAGAATTTTGCTTGCTTTTAAAATGGCTCAGTAATATATCCATGGGTATACATACCACATTTTCTTTATCCATTTATCAGTTGATGGATACCTGATCCAACAACTATGAGTTGGGTCTACAGCATGACCTTTGTGAATAGTGCTGCAGTAAATGTAAAAGTACAGATTTTTCTTACATCTGTAAGAGTTGCCAAAAATCCTACAGTTTCAGCATTGTTGACAAGTCCCAAGTCCTAAGTCTCCTCCAAGACCTAAGACAAACTCTTAGCTGTGAGCTCCTATCCAAATGAAAATTACATACTTCCAACATTCAATGGCATAAGGTAAACATTATCATTGCAAAAGGTATAAACGGGATACAAAGCATTGGGACCAAAGCAAGTCCAAAATGCAGCAGGGCACACATTAAGTCCTATAGTTCCATGTTCAGTGGAACTGAGGCAGCCTGTGATGAGTTTTCAGTTCCATGTGGCTGCACCTCTATGGCATTGCTGCTGATTGTAGCTTCCATGGCTTTCTCTTGGGCTGGCATTATTCCCTCCTTGCAGCTTTCCTTGGATGATCCATGTTTCTGACTTTTCCAAACTTACGGGGTTTCTGACGCAGTGAATGGTTGCCCTCTGCCATGTGTACTCTTCCTTGGAGCCAGCCAAGTATGCACTGAAACCTCTACTAACTGTAAGCTAAATAACTTCCTTAATTTAGGTGTTTGGTATATTCTCCCAGTAATGAGAGAAAAGTAACTAGGATAGAGTTCAGTACCAGAGAAGTGGGGTCAGTGCTGTGATGATATACCTGACCATGTGGATTATAAGCCTTTGGGAATGCCTTATGGGAAGGCATTATGTTTGTCACTCACAGCTTTACACATTGCTCTCTCAGGGGCACACTGACTGGCCTCCTAGGCCTTCTGAAATCTAGGTGGAAGCCTACTTAACCTCAGAATTGTTGCATTCTGCCTGCGCCTAAAACCAGTGCCACTTGGATGAAGCCAAGGTCCTTTGCTAGCTGGAGCAGTAGCCAGGATTTCTTCTTTCTTGGCTGTAGGGGTCGATTGCCTGGCTGAGCATTCTTCTCCTGATTCAGGGAACAGGATCTAGTAACAGGATCTAGTTACTTTTCTCTCGTTACTGGGAGAATATACCTGACACCCAAATTAAGGCAGTTATTTAGCTCACAGTTAGTAGAGGTTTCAGTGCATACTTGCTTCAAGGTAAAGTACACATGGCAGAGGGGAACCATTCACTACATCAGAAAACAGCAAAGAGCAAAGGGAGGACCAGCAGTAGCTGCTAAGAATCCTCTTTCCCTCCTTACATCTGTGTGCAGATTATTTACCCCAGGGTGGGTGTAGTACTCACACCCATAATCTCAGCATTGGATCAAGAATTAATTACAGGGCTGGGAAGATAGCTCAGCAGCATAAGCACCTGCCTGGCAAGCACAAGGTTCTCAGTTTGATCCCCAGCACCACAAAAAAAAAGAAAGAAAGAAAGAAAGAAAGAAAGAATGAATGAATTACAAACTATAGAAGCCAATCCATGACGTCATGAAGCTTTGGGGGGGACAGCTAGACACAAACCATAACAGTATACATGGTGACTTGTTTTATAACACATAATCTGGCATGTTTTGGAGAATGTCCATGATATCTTGGAATAGATTATATTGGAGAATGTCCATGGTATCTTGGAATAGATTATATTCTGATCATGTTGAATGAAACATTCTGAAGACTTTAAAATTGAGTGTTTTATCTGACTTACTGAGGTTTTCTTTTCTAGGATTTCTTTTCTTATGTATTTGGCACACGGTCTCACTACACAGCTCAGACTTGGTGATCCTCCTGTTTTTGCCTCCCCAGTGCTGGGATCATACACCACCATGCCTGGACTTGTTTCTGGCTCAGTGCTCCTGTGGGTAGAGCCAGTGCAGCTGCACTTGCCCAAGCAGGCGATTAGTCCATGAGGCTATCTTGCTGGCCCCTAGGATTTCTGATTGGTTGTTTCCAACATTTTCTGTTGTTTTACTGATACCATCTTTCCCATCTTGCATTGTCTTCTTTAATTTAGTCAGCTGATTTATAACTTATTTGAGTTCACTTATTCTAGTAATTGATACATTTACCTGTTTATCTTTTTTTAACCTCATTGATCCTTTTAACTATCAGTTTTTGACATCATTTTTCTCTAATTTGTTCTACTTTACTCTCTGTGGGGTAATCCTTTGGGGATTTATTTATCTTTTGTATTTTTTCTCATTAACAGGACACTGCAGTACCAAACCTGATGTGATCTTCAAGTTAGAGCAAGGATCTGAGCCATGCCTGGTGGAAGAAGCCTCAAGCCAGAGCCTCCCAGGTCAGTTGATGCATACTGAAGAGCTGTTTTCACTATTTTTTTTCTTATGTACCAATAGCTGATCCCATTACTTTGTAGGTGTGTTTTCTACAGCTTAAAGGCTGTCATATATAAATCTCATTTTCTTTTTTGTTGTTGATGTATATTTTGTCAGGTTTACAAAGAAGACAATTCTATGGATCTTACAAATTTTTTTAGATCTTTTCTCTAGGTTCTTGGATTGTCCATACACTGATTTTTTTCCTCTCAGACATTCATACATACATTCTTTTTAACATTTCCCTTTTTTTTGCGGAACCGGGGATTGAACTCAGGACCTTGCATTTGCCAGGCATAACATTTGCTTTTTGATTACCTTAGAGACACTGGTCTTTTTTACTTGCAAGGATTAATACATACTAATTATGCAGGCCATTTTGTTGAAGGATAATATTGAACCAATCTGTAGTGTTGGATAGTTAGATGAAAGCCCCAAAGAATGTTTCATGAGAATGAGTTAAAAAGTAGGATATGACGTTTTATTTAAGGAATGATGTCTGGTGTGTGGCCTGCATTTTAAGAAATGTTATAATAAAAATTATTAGAAAATGTTGTAATGTTACTTAAATTAATTAAATTATGTATCTTATGTGTGGCCCAGGACAATTTCCATTTGCTTATAAATTGTGGTGTGGGAGGGCCAGCCAAATAGCTCAGCAGATTAAAGTGCTTGCAAGCAGGCGCAGGGGCCAAGGCTTCAATTCCCAGGCCTACTGTGCCTGCCCCGCCCCCAGGGCACGCTGAGATGGCAGTTGAGACTGGGCATGGTGGCACACGCCTGTAATCCCAGCTCTTGGGAGGCTGTTAGACAGGCAGATCACTATGAGTCCGATCTAGTAATGAAATCCTTCTCCCCGCCACAAAATAAACAAATTGGCAAATCAGTAGCTTAATGCCAGTATTTAAATCCTACTTATTCAGGCAGTCGCTAGCGAATTGGTGAGAAAACAAGAATTTTAGTATCAAGCCCTATATGTGACATCAGAATTTATGTAAGTGAGGAGTACCTAGCATATATGCATGGAGAGCATGGGATTCTGGAATTGTAGGACAGCCAGAAGATCTTGGGTAAGAAGGACAAATAATGGGCTGGTGAGATGGCTCAGTGGTCTAAAGCACCTACTTAGAACAAGCTAAGCAAAGCACAGGGACTGCAGTTCAATCCCCAGCACCACATGCCAACCAGCCCTGCCCCCTGGTGGGCTGAGCTGGCCACACACACACACACACACACACACACACAAAATAAATAATTTTTTTAAAAAAAGGACAAATAAACTAAGGATTTCATCTTGCAGGCTCCTAATTTCTCTGTGGGAATGAAATTCATAGTTAGCTTTTATACTTTTCTTTGTGAAAGACATTGAGAGATGATAGATTTGCATAAGAAACTCCATTTTCTTTCCAAGTAGAAGAAAGTGGAACTTCTAAACACAAAAGCCATCTAAAGCAGAGTTCCCAAGCAGGCATACATGTGCCTAGAAACTTGAGTGTATGTCCAAGTATCCAGAAAAATATATTGCAACAAAGGTAGGTACAGTGCAACTACAGAACCAAATAATGTAGTCTAATAGGAAGACAGACTTGGATTTCTGAACTTGTTATAGTTCTGAGAACCATAATTTCCTTGATTCATTAAGCATGAGATGCACATACTTCATAAATTATTTTGAAATCTCGTGTCACTAAGATGTGGCAGTTTTTTACCTTTCAATTTTTAAGAAATGTTTGTTTCACTGAGATTACTATTTTTTGTATCATTTTAGATGTCCAGAAAGTAAATGGTCTTATTCAGAAAATCCAGAAAAATAATAAATACTTTTGGCAAGTTGCAATCACATCCGCTGAGGAGATGGTTGAAATGGGAAAACCATTTAATATGAACTCAAGCTATAATTCAGTTCTGAATATAAATAATCTAAAGAATGGAAACAATTCTAGAATGAAGCCTGAGGAACTTTATATTTGGCAAAATGTGCTTCTCTCTGGTGATCCGTATGAGATGCAGACTGGAGAGGAGCCTGTTGTCCTTAATGTAACTGGGAAATCCTGCATACTTCCTGAACATCTTAGTATGCATAACAAGGTTCAAGGTGTGCAAAAGCACTTTCAATATTATGGACAAGAGAAAGTCTTCAACATGAAAACGGTATTGACGCATACAAGGATTCATGTGGGAGAGAGTTCCAGTAAATTCAATGAATATGAGAAAGACTTTGATAAGATAGCATTTATTTCTGGAGAGATGACTCAGGTAAGGGAGAAATCATTTGAATATAATGTCTGCCAGAAAGCATTACGTAAAAAGGCTAAACTCTTTAACCATGAGAAAATTCACAAAAGACAAAAATATTATGAATGTAATGATTTGGGAGAACCTTTCATTAGCAAATTGTTTGTTGCAAAACACCAGAGAAAACATGTAGAAGAACAGACCTATAGATGTAATAAATGTGAGAAGTTTTTCTGTCAAAAGACAGAGCTCAATATACATCAGAAAATCCACAGAGAAGCAAAACTCTATGAAGATTATGAATGTGAAAGCAACTTTAACCAGAAGCAAAACCTCAGCAGGTGTCTGAAAACTCACACAGGTGAGAAGCCTTATGAATGTAATATGTGTGAAAAAGCCTTTTATCGGAAGTCACATCTCAACAGGCATCAAAGAATTCACACTGGTGAAAAACCCTACGAATGTAAAGAATGTAGGAAAACTTTCTACCATAAATCATCCCTCATTATACACCAGAGAACTCATACAGGTGAGAAACCGTATGACTGCACAAAATGTAGGAAGGCTTTTTACTGTAAGTCAGACCTTACAATACATCAAAGAACTCACACAGGTGAGAAACCATATGAATGTGAAGAATGTAGGAAAACTTTCTACTCTAAGTCACACCTCACAATACATCAGGGCATTCATACAGGTGGAAAACCATATGCTTGTGAAGAGTGCAGGAAAACATTCAACCGGAAGTCTAATCTGACTGTACATAAGAGAACCCATACAGGTGAGAAACCCTATGCATGTAATATATGTGGAAAATCCTTTTACCGGAAGTCTCACCTCAGTACACACCAGGGAACACACAGAGGTGAGAAACCATATGAATGCAAAGAGTGTAAGAAAACATTCAATCATAAGGCAGCCCTCACTGTACATCAGGGAACTCATACAGGAAATAAACCATATGCATGTGGAGAATGTAAAAAAACTTTCCTTCATAAGTCATCTCTCACTGTGCATCAGAGAAGTCACACAGGTAACAAACCTTACACGTGTGAAGAATGTAGTAAAGCTTTCTACTGTAAGTCACACCTCACTGTGCACCAGAGAACTCATACAGGTGAGAAACCTTATGAATGTCAAGAATGTGAGAAATCCTTTCACCAGAAGTCATACCTCAGCAGGCATCTGTTAACACATGAAGCAGAGAAACAATTTGAATGTAAACAGTGTGGGAAAACTTTCTACCATAAGGCATCTCTCATTATACATCAGAGAACTCACACAGGTGAAAAACCCTATGAATGTCAACACTGTGAAAAAGCCTTTCACAAGAAGTCAAACCTCACCAGGCATCAGATAACTCATGAAAATGAGAAACAATTAGAATGTAAAAAATGTAAGAAAGCTTTCTCCCATAAGTCATCCTTTATTATCCATCAGAGGGCTCACATGGAAGAAATTGTGTGAGTATAATAAATATGGAAAACTCTTACCAGAAGCCAACCTGAAAAAACATCTGGGAATTCACACAGAGGAGACAACCTAGAAACACAATGAATATGAGATTTTTTTTGTGAGAAGACACACAATTAACAGGCATCAAGGAGCACACATACAGTAGTTCTCTGTAGCAGATATATGCTGTATCGTCCAAGATTATTATTTTCTATGGAATATGCAGCTTGTATTTTTCAGCCTCTAATACTGTTTTGAACCACATACTGGAACTATACTGTAGAATGTGGATATTTTAAGCCTAGCCCACATAATCTATTAAATCCTTTTTTGGTTCTTTTCCTTGAGTTCTTACACTTTGGACCTGAAACAAATCTGGCTGTTGAGGCTGATCTTAAGAGCCATAGGTCATTGTGTTTAAGACAAGCAATTGATTGCCTATTCTTACCCTTATCCCTTTATATTCCTATGCAGTTCACATGAGTGAGAAGTACTCTGTTGAACAATTTTTGTTTGTTTGTTTGCATTACAGTGTAAACCTGTAATAGCTAATTCCCTTTAGAAGCTTTATGAAAGATGTTAGAGCCGTCCTTCAATATTGCACAGTGCTATACAGTGATATATATACAAGATTCACTGTATATCAGATGTTAGATCTGTCCTTCAATATTGCACAGTTCACACACAAGAAATCTAACACCTTTAATTTTCAAGTTAATAGATGGGGGCGTTGGGGAGATGGCTCAGTGGAGTAAGTGCTTCCGTGGCAAGCACAAGGGCCTGAGTTCAATCCCTGGTTCCGCCAAAAAAAAAATAATAATATATGGGAAAGATGCATTTGTTGACAGGTTGTATCAAATAGAGAATGGTTTAGTGGGAACATTTCATTGAACACCTTAAGGCAGATATTTATAAATTGTGTGAAAGTTTCCAATGTATCTTTGTATTGGATATTATGAAGGAAGGATAACTCAGTTTGTGTAATATAAATGGTTGGTTTTCAAATGGAAATGTTAAATATAGTATTGGAAATCATTTTTTTAAGAATATTTCACTATATACCAGTATTAAATATGAATGATAGTATTTTCTGTTAAGAGTACATTGGGCATTTGTTATTGTTGCATTTGGGTATTGGGCATTGCTGTTATCATGTAGTGGAAGTCAGACATGCAGTTCAGCAGTCTACAGTGCATCACAAAACATTCCATAACATATTAGTATTTTGTCTTAACATACTTTGCTTTTTGGGACCCAGTATACTGTGCAGAGTATATGTATAGTTTTTGTAATATAATGAGGGGCTGAGAGTATACCTCATTGTTAGGATATGTGCTTACCATGCATGATGGCCTACTTTCAATGCTCAGCTTAAACAAGGCAAAGATTTTGTCTTAAGTGCCATCATGGGCCATTTATATTTTGTTATATATCATCTCAGATATTGTACTGTTTTGTTTCCTGTCCTCCTAATGTTTATAAATGTGTGTGGACATAATAAAAATATCTTGTTGGTAACAAGGATTCTTTTCTAATGTACAAAGCTAACGGAAGCATTCATATGGAAATACACAGATCAAGCATGTAACTGTTCATAACTGAAATCTGAGGTAATTTAGTTACTGGTGAACATCCTCAATGAAAAGCAGTCTGTTTTCCTTTTTGTCTTGTTTGTTTTAAATTGGACAGCAGGATAAGTGTGAAAGTGTAGAATGAATGCTGTCTACTGGTGAACATATGCATTTCTCTTTCCTGTGATAGAGTGCCGTGACTATACTTTCCCAGGAAATTGTCAACATACAATGACTTTAGACCTAGACTTCACTGGGCTTCTATTTATGTAGAAAAAGAGCATATTAATGTACCCTGACACAAATGGTTATTATGAGTAGTAAATTAGGGTTTTGGATAGTACCTGGCATGTGGTAAGCTGCTGTGATGATGGCCATTATCACAGTTTATAAAATTACTTTTAAAAATTTACCTATTTGGTACAGGTCTCACTGCACAGCTCACACTCACAGTGATCCTCCTGTTTTCAGCCTCCCCAAACACTGTGATTACAGGTGTGTGCCACAATTCCTAGAATTGGTGGCCAGCTCAGTGCACAGCCTGTGGTGCTGGGGATCAAACTTTGGTCCCTGAGCTTGCCTAAACAGGCACTTAATCCACTGGGCTATCTCTCCAGCCCAATAAAATTAGTCTTTTTTTTTTTTTTTTTGTGGATCCAGGGATTGAACTCAGGCCCTTGCGCTTGCCAGGGAAGCGCTTATTCCACTGAGCCATCTCTCTGACCCAAGAAAATTAGTCTTAAATGAATATTACAACAGAATGTTGTTTGGCAACACAATACCCATTTCACTTTTTGTCAGTATCATGACTGATTTTAAAAATAATTGTTTGGCATTACTCTTTTTTTTGTGGAACCAGGGATTGAACTCAGGCCCTTGTGCTTGCCAGGGAAGCGCTTATTTCATTGAGCTATCTCCCCGGCCCCTTTGCTGTAGTAGCTGTTTTTGGCTAAGCCCTTGAGCCAGTTGACACAGTAAAGATTTTATGGCATGTCTGGAGTGTTCCTACAAAGAAAGACATGAAAAAAATGGCTCCTCTCTTGCGAGATAGTGGTCTTTGTGAACATATTTCTTGATTGCATATTTTGACTCTTGTGTGATACCACATACTGACAAGGCAGAAAGCTGTAGCACTGAAATGAAAATATATGTGAATCACTACTGAAACCTCTGGAGCTTTTCTTTTGGGGAGATCATTATAGAACATCAGGTTTCTATTTGTGCATAAGCAAAGGCCACTATTATCTGTAAGATAACATTTATGTATTAATCTAGTTTCTGTGAGTCAGTCCCCTCTGCCACCTGCAGTGCAACAATTCATCTCAGATTTGCTAATTGCAAGTCGAAAATTTAAACTACCAGTATGTGCACTGATTTGTAAGGGGGAAAAAAACCCTTAATTTTGGACATTTTATAGAAAAGACCCCCAGAACATCTGTCTTTATTCAAGAGTTGGTTATGGAGTAAAAACTTTTTTAGAAACAGAACAAAATACATTTTTTTTTTTTTTTTTGCTGAGACATAATACCTGGCAACGACAAGTTAAAGGAGGAAAGTTTTAGTTCTGCTAACAATTTGTAGTGTTTTCAGCCCATAGTTGGCTGCTCCAGTGCACGGCAGTGTGGCAGAGGGCATTGCAGAGGTGAAACAGTTTGTGGTGGAGCTGCTAGGAGGCAACAAGTAGCCTGCCTTCTTTCTGTCCCTTTATATTCTATGCAGGCTACAAGCCTATTGATTCATGCTGTATACACCTGTGCTGGGGCTTCCATTATCCAGAACCGGAACCATGATCAACCAATTGAGTAATCATGTGCCCATAACCCTCATTCACAATCCCTAGATCCAACCATCTCCAAGAAGCCCCATCTATGAGCATATGAGGGTTTGGTGGTCATCTGGACTTAAGCCATAATGTACTGATAAGAGGTTAGTCTCAGAGTTTTATAGAAGTTGTAAATCTCTACCTTGCAACAGCTTTAGTCTACAGTTAAAATTAGATAACTCAAAGGAATGAACAGGTCTGTGATCATTGTGGAGACTGATTGTTCATTAGTTGCAGAATGTGAATGATGTTCAGGAAATAGTAATAATAGAAGCAAAGCCAGAACAATGTAATAAATGGGCACAAAATTATTAGTTATCAATTTTTAGTGTTAAAGCATAGTACCCCCAATACTGATTTTCTTCCACAATCTGGGAAGGATGGGGGAGGGAAATGAATATGTTCACAGGTGAAGTTGAATAGAATAATTTCTAGTGTCCCACAGCCCAGGCCAAAGTGGTTGAGAATTGTAATTGTATATTTAAAAATATGTATATATGAGAGGATTTGGCCCGTTTCCTATAGAAACAAGTAATAAATGTGAGATCATGGATATCTCATTTTCATCAGTAAGCATACTCATTGAAAAACACTCTATACACCCATAAATATGTACAGTTACAAAATGGATAATATGTGTAAATATGAACGTTAATGATGGTTTTTGTTTTTGTTTTTTTGTACTGGGAATAGAACTGAGGACCTTGTGCTTGCCAGGCAGGCACTTATGCTGCTGAGGTACATCCCCAGCCCTGAAGTCTGTAATGAAATGAATTTGAAGGACAGTTATTGTATGGTAATGGAAAAATTAAGTTTCCTAGGAACATGAAAAGTTTAGGAAATTATTGGAAATTGCACAGTATGAGATTTTGTCTTTCTAGAAACAATAATTGGAACTAGTAGCTATCTATGATACTTTAGTACAGGCTGGTAATATAGATACATATAGATATATCAGTGGGAATGAATAGGCAAGAGAGAAATAATCTGGGTTTATGGAGAAATGTTTCCCGCAACACAGACTCAATAGAGAAAGAATGATGCAGTTTATGTTGAAAGCAACCCATTGTGAAAATGTAAGTCTCATACTTGATACAAGATAAATTCTACATGTTCTAAATAGTTTCTGAAGAAAAGTGGCTAGCATTAACCCATATCCATTTCTAAAATTTTAGTTTGGTGGTACATGTCAAAAGGAAGCAGAGTATATATTGTGATTTAGATCTGAAATGTTCCCCAGTAGTTTCATGTGTTCAGAGATGGGTCTTTGAGAGGTGACTGAATCAGGATGGCTCTTACGTCAACCATGGGTGGTGAGTTTATAATTGGATAAGATGAACTCCCTTAGATTTTTCCTTAATGTGTATCCATATTTCCCCCTTAAGCACATTGTAAAAGAATACTTAAAAGAGGTAATAACCTGTTAAAATGTTTGTAGAGGGCCAGGGAGATGGCTCAGTGGAATAAGCACTTCCCTGGCAAGCGCAAGGCCCTGAGTTCAATCCCCAGTTCGGCAAACAAAACAAAACAAAGTTTGTAGAATGCTTGGCAAATATATATTTCTCTTTATTAAAAGTTATGAAAAGGTATTTACTATACTAAGATAGAGGAAAACTCTAAAGGCATGTACTAAGAAACTGTTTTTGAAATAAAAATGTAAAAAGTCCTGATTAAACAAGAAATACAAATGTGAACTGGGCAT